ACACGTTGGACTAAAAAATTAATAGAGTACGAGATTGAACATGGAGAGTTGGTGAGTTCATCGAATTATGGTTGTTCGTGTCGGTCTTCGGCTCAGTATATTTATATCCAACGTCATTAAAATGATTGGAAGATAGGAATTAGTACACAGGAAGTAGACTTCCGCCTAGATCACTATTAGGCAAATTAAATTTTTCTCGCCAGAAATATGAACCGGAAATCAGCTGAAATTGAAAGACACGGATTAAGGATAAATAATAAATAACAATAATTAACCCAAGTGATTGGAACCACGAAGGCATCGTCCTTTATTCGAACGAGTTAACACGACGATCGGCAAACACCCCTTTCCCAGTTTCCTGATCGTGTTCATCCAACGGTTCCCCCTTCGCCCCCATAACTAAAATCCTGAGGAAAATCCGACACCTATTCTAAAGTGTCCCATTGTTAACCAACAACGTATGTTCGCGGTTAATCCCTAATTGGCTGCATTTGGTCTGGCAGAAAGAGGCTGGAAAGAAAAGGAGGATCGATAAAGGAAGACAGACGTGAACGTGTTGTTCGAATAATCGAGACCCAGCGGGTTTCACTCGCAACAGAAACCCTTTCCATGGAAAAAAAAGCAACCACCCTCGGAATTCTTTTGCTGGTTGTTGGTGCAAGGCGTTAACCTGCCCCATCCCATCGGCCGACGATCTCCAGGATAAAACCGAGCCAATATTCCCAGGATAATCGTAATATACAGATGATGTGCATCTAGGTGTATAGGCGCGTATCCTATGGAAAGATTCATCATTCCGATCATTATTTCCGCTTTCCAGAAACAATCCACTTCGTTCTCTTATTCGCAAACGAATCATTTTCTCAACAATCCTCAAATTCCTAACTTTCTCACAACCTTCTATTCTTGCTCCTTTACATTTCGAGGATCTTTTAATTTAATCCAACAGACTCGTGCAACGAAAGCTTGCGAGAAGCTATAAAATTAAAAATTTTGTATAAAATGAAAGAATTAGAAAAACCCGTCTTCACTAACGAAAATAGAGCCAAGTAACCGATTAACGAGGATGAAGAAAATCGCTATAGTGGTACCAGTAGAGTTCAACGGAAGCAATGAAATGTCACGAATTTGAATAAACCAAAGCTGGCCACTAACTCAACCACCCCAACTCCTTCGCGCCATCACTCGAAACAAATTTCATTTAGCAGCCACCTATGCAGCCCGTTAACAACCCCATCGTCTGCAACGTCTGGCATAGGAGGATCAGGAAGCCTCGTATAATCTCGTCTAACGATTCCACCGGCAATCTTCGGCCCCATAAAATTTCGTTGGCCGTTCTTACGTAACCTAAGCCACAGCAGCAACAGCAGCCAGCACGAAAGATTCGTTCCTTTTCCGCGCAGCGAGATCTGCTCTTCCTCCCCGAGGAGCAGCGAGATCCGACTTTTATCCGTTCCTCCCTGTACCAGCCGATTATTATTTCAGCTTACCTTTCGCCAAGTGTACTTGCGTCCGCTTTATACTCCAAGGTAAAACCGGCTTGGAGGAGCTCGGAACGAGGTTGTATCCCCGAGGAGGCCACCGACTCCCAAGGGAGATGCCTCGATGGCTCTCCTCCCACTCTATCCCTCTCTTTCGCTCTTTCTTTCGCACAGTGGTGGCTGCCGTTGCTACTCGAGTGAAAACATCGAGGCTCCTCCGCGTTTCTTTAATACACGGCCTCTCTACGCCATTGCTGCTCATTACGCAGGAATAAAATGACGCAATGTTAGCGGTACGAGTTTTCTAGCTGCGTTTATGAACTGCTCGTTGCACCGTGATAGAGAAGAGTAACGGAGGATTGGATGACCGAGAATGACGATGAAACCCAGCTGTTTGGGTTTAGGGAGTATCGATCCCGAGATTTTGGAATTCTTCGCTCACGGGGTCTAGGTCGATTAGACGGGATCATTATTTCGAATATTCGATCTTTGGATCTTTGGATATGGTTACTGATGGATTTGGGAATTTTTCGAAGCCTCCGGACAACAGTGATTCCAGAATTTTTGGAATTTTTGGATAGCTGTGACCACTAGATCTTGTGATCTATGGCACAGTATTTGCGTAAGTCTCATATTCGTTATTTCGCGAAGTAAAATTTTCATAATTTTTTAAAGGTATCGTCGTAGCAAGCAAATGGAATATTTGGGTTGAAACGAGGTAAAAGTTCAACTTTTCGAAGATGGCGTGGTTTTAAAAAGTGTTACGCTTCGGAATAGGGAAAATTGCCGCAGAAAATGCACGTGTTCATTTAGCTGCAACAGCACGATATAATTCGCGTAATCGAAATTTATCGGGTAGCTTCGACGTACCGGCGTTACAAATGGACAATTTTTCGGCTAATATCCCATTCATTGTCAGGTATAATGGCTTTCGTAGGTATTTTTACAGTAGCCGCACGGACATTACAACAAATTATGTAATAAAACGAAGACCACGCAATGATGTATCGGGAAAACAATCCGGCTCTACATCGTTAAGATACTATTGTTCCCTAGCTATACCATGAACAGGATATATCGACATAATAAGCACGGTCGGATCACCTTTGCCACCTGAGCCCCTATTACCATTCTGAAAGGAATTGCCCCGACTAGCACTTCTTCTCCACCCCATATGCTATGCACCACGTGCGTGGTGGAACTAGAAACAGCCCTTGCAACATACCCGATGCCACTACATACACGACAGCATGGTCAATTCGTGTTATTTTCAAGCTCGTCGTCGATAATTACAACCACTTTATCTAACCCTGTAGTCTACTCTGATCTCGAAATAAATACAAAGATTCGCCAAGAGAAGGTGAATTCCGAATTCTTCTACGTTTAAAAAATAATATTTTTATAGAAAAATTCCTGCTCTTTCTACAAATAACCAGATTCTTCGAAAATTCAATGCTACCTTTTACACGATGCCTTTTAGTCTAAGATTAAACAAAACTTTTTCACTTCAGATCTTGCTTCAGTTCCTACCGACAATGGTGGCCAGTTGGAAAACAAGGGTACCAGAAACAACGAATATTTCAGAGACTTTACAACATTTTCTACTGAAAAAATTCGATAACGAACCTGAGGGATGCGTTAATGTAAAGAAAAAATGGCGGAATTTTTCCCTCAGTAATAATCCACGAAGAAAATTCCCAAACTTCACCTACTTTCAAAGGCGGTCAAGGTAATCTACCCCTCTAAGTTAAACCCTGTCGCCAGCAGAGCGTTAATGATACAACTCTACTACCCTCTAAATACCCCATATATCACGAAACGTCCACTTCTAAACAGACAAAAGTACTATCAAAGCGATCACATGCCGCAAGATGCAGAATATTTATTTCCATTGCGCCATTTCAATTAATACCACTCGTGTTCCCTATATCCGCCTGTATTTAGCTAGTTCCTTGTGCTCTCTTCTCGTCACGAAGCTTCCTTGCCTATCAACGTGATTAGGTACCCGTAGCATTCGACTGCGTACCCTTGGAAGACTACGCACGAAAGGGTTAAATTTCTGCGCGGTCCCCGCACCCTCTCGCGAGTATCGAATCGGAATTTCGAGCGATCGCGATGAAAACGAGGAACGCGCCGCAAGCAACGACGCGCGTCCACGATGCACGCGACTCCGAAGGATCCTCCGGGACAAAGGAATCCCATATTCATAGGGTCTAAGGTGGGTGGTACGTTTCTTGAACGGCTACGAACAATGACGACGTGTCTGAACGCATTGTTGCGTCGCGAGGCAATGTCCCGCGAGGACTGATAAAAGTAATGCACCAGAATGCGGCAGAATGCACCGACCGCGCCTCCCTCAATTCCTGGCCCATTGTTACATCTGCATAACGATAGTCGTCTGCCGGCAGTGCTTCATTGTACCGAGTACATTCGACGCTGCAGGAGGAAGCTGTTCGCGAAAACGGATTCTTCCCTCTCACTGGGTTAACGCGTACTCTATCGAACGAAAATTAAGACTTCCTCCGCCTTTTTCCCTTCCTTTCCGAGCTTCCAACCCCTCGCAGACGAGATCGGCAAGGGTGAGATGCGATACGGCATTTAACACCCTGTGTTCAACCCTGTGATCGCGGGGTGCATGTGCAGGCTGGACTACAGGTGCGACTATCGATGAAGCTATCGAGGAATCGAGGTTGCAGCGAATTCGTCGTCACTAAATCCTTTGAAATATATTCACTTTTATCCGAGTTTGCTGCAGCTGGTTATTGAGATACTTATTGTTCTGCAAATTTGCAGACACGTTGTGTGCCATAAGCTATGACATAAATCTTGCGGTTCCTTGGATCACTTTTATTCGCTTGAAGGGCGTCTTAATCTTATCTGGTCATAGCTCTAGGGTGGACCACATTGATCGCTTTTAATAATGCTTTTCTTTTTTCTTAATGATATAATTAACTTAACAAAAATCAAGTGTTCTTTATTAGCTAAATGATCATTGAAGATAATCGAGATATCAGTAAGATCTATAGATGTGAATTGTGGATACATGTAAAATAATTTATCCTGTAATAATTTTTGGGAATGATAAAAATATTCTATTTAGTGGTCGTAGGTTGAATAATGAATTAATATCGTGACAGAAGCAAGAGAGAAAGTACTTTGTTTTGAGAAAAGGAACAAAATCAACACACTTTGGAGGTATATTGATTACCATTTTATGTTAAACAAGGAATTGTTGGATTTAAAAGTTATTGGCTATTAGAGGAGATTCCTGAACGATTTTTGTTACACTCCAAATATCTTTTGAGATAACATCTCCATTTCCATTCTGTATCGATCGATGATATTACTCGTATAACAGGACACTTGTTATACTTGAATAGTACTACTCGTCGAAACTGGCAATTATTCTTCTCGATATACGTACTTAGGAACAAGTACCTTCTCTCCAAGCTTCGCCCTTTGATCCGACAAAGTAAATTACCGAAATCTACGAGTCGTTACTTTAATTTCTCCACTCACCCTCTGAATGACGACTGAACGCTCTCTGCAGCTCCTCCTCTTCCTCCTCCTCCTCTTCATCCTCTGTGAAAAATTCGCGAATGATAAATCAAAGATTGACATACGTATGAAAATTCTTAAAAGGAAAAACCGGAAAGCCCCGGCTGACCGTCTAGATTTACGTAAACGTTCGCTAACGACGAGAAAGTATTTAGTAACACTCACGTTTAATTCCCGTTGTCTCATTATCCTGCTCGGTTACCTCCAGGACATTCTGCTCGTTCCCGTCGTCCCACTCTTCGTCTCCTGCGGAGAGACAAGCAACCATTAATTCCGTTTCATTTGCATATCAGCCTCGAAGAATAAAATCTGTATTTGCGAAGAAAAAAAGAAAGGGGAAAAGAAAGAGAAGAGAAAGGGGAGAAAAGAGCAGCAACGAGCAACGAAATTGTAATTCTTCTCCCTTTCGAGCACGTGAACATTCCGTTCCATAAGGTACGTGTGCGTACGTGCCTGCGTGTGTGTGTATATGAATACGAATTCCAAGTAACGCGGCGAGAAACGATTAATAATACGCTTTTTGCAGACTGTCCAACGGCGGATGAACAAGATTTGTGCGCCGAATGTAACGACGCGAATAAGTTTAGCTTTAACGAACTGCGTTTCACCGTGCAATACAGGGTGAATTGTAAAGTGCGAGTAAAGGCTTCACAAACGAATTCGTCACACAAAAGTGATTGAAAAACATGACCCATTTAGCCGAGATCCTTTGGTTTCACCTGCCTTCGATGTTAAGCTAGCTGCACGCTTCTCGTTGCCCATAGAAATTCCGGATTTTTAATAAACAAAAAGTTCCTTTGTCGAGACACGAGTGCGAGATTGAAAGGTAAATTTGTCACGTAAAAGTAATTGGGAGATCTAATCTATTTAGCCCGGATTTTTCGGATTTGCATGCCCTCGATATCGAGCTGACTGCTCGTTTCCCTTGCCTCATAAAAATTCGAAATTTTTAATTAATCCAAAATTTCTTTCCCCAGACGCAAACGTGAGACTGTGCATAAAAGTGATCGGGAAACATGACAAAATCTGAGTGAACCGTTCTTTCTATCTCCAGATATAAACGTGTGATTGAAAAATAAATTCGTGACATAAAAGTGATTAAAAAGGATGATCTCTTCGAACGAGATTATTTATACTGACATGAAATTAATATAAAAATGTGAAAAGTATTCGCGAAAACGCGCAGTAAATTCGTCTCTGGGCAACGTATACCCGAAGTAGTTTACCAAACTGAAATAACCGAGGAGCAACTAAACAAATATTAACCCTTTCGCCATGGAAGGAACCACCATTACGCTTTAATTAATTTTACAGAGTAAATCAAACGTTCCCACCAGTGATAGCATAAAAAATATTCTCCTCGTCTCCGCACAATGGAACCTGCATCGTCAAGCTGACATCGGAGCAGAAGAATTTAAACGAACGTTCCGCATCATCATCCCTCTCGTCCAAGCTAGCAGAAGGTCCCCGAGGATATTCGTAATCCCCGAAAAATTCCTGACGAAAATAAAAGAACAAGCGTTACGAACACAGTAACGCATAAAGAACGAAAAACGTGCGACAAACGGTGTCGTTCATTCACAAACGTCGGCCAAACGACCGCAATAGGATCGATCGCAAATTCCATCGTAGTATAACAGAACAGATCAGCAAGTTGCCTCGCGGAGGAACGGTTCGTTGCCTGTATATCATCAAACACGAAACGACGAGCCGTGTTTTCAACATGAAATATACCCACGGACCGTACTGACGTGGCTGCCGTATAGTAGAGCCATCCGTTTGTCACGTGGGACCACAAAATTAAACTTAAAAAATTACACCCCTGTCCACGTGGCCAACAGGTCGTTTGTTATTTTGCATCCGCCCTCTTCCTCTCTCACCACGGTCCATTCACCCTCTCTATTCGCCGCATCCGACGGCTTTTCACGGGATAAACTTGCCACTCCGACCGATTGCCACTGTTTTCGAAGGTGTCGAATGCGGATTTGTTTCCTCCTTTTTATCTCCTGCTTCTTTTTTTCTGTTTCTTTTTTTTGCTCTTTCTTTCGCCTTTTTCGCACTCACTGCTTTTTCGTTTTTCGAAGAAAACCTCGATAGAATTCCGCTGTTTGTCTAAACGAGAGAATTTGTTACAGCAAGCTACGCATCTGCGACCGAGTTCGTGTATCAATTCCAGGGATGATTCGATGGTTCTACTTTTGCAGCATTTTTATGAAGACACTGACTTTCTTTTTGGAATTCTTTTTTAAAAACAGTCTGTAAGAATTCAGCTTCCCAAACGCCATCGTCGCGACACGGAAGGGAGACCAAGCTCACGGGAAGACGAGGAAGAGGTCCCTTCTTTTAACACGATAATCGCGAAACTTTGATGAAGTTTGCACCGACAAAGAAGGCTCCTACGTCCATCGACTTTATTGGAAAGAGCTCCGGGAGAAGGAACATCTTCCTCTATGGATGGAGCATTAGCCTGAAGACGTGGAACAACGAGCGCATCGGAGCAAGGGATGGAAGATACGGTCTTAAATATTCTACAAGACATCAGCCAAGGCAGCACCATGCCAAGCACCCTTGGATTGAACCTTTGCACCCTCCACCCTGTCAGCTGTCAAGGCTTCTGTCGAGCAGCTCTCGCGTTTCATGCCACCTAGGATACCACGAGTTAATGCTTCATCCATCATCGAGGACTCCTCCTGGCGAGGACTTTTCCGTCGGTTCTACCTTGTCTCCCTAATTGCTGCTCAACTTTTACTCCGCCTCTGTCCCTCTGCCTCGTTTAACCGGTTATCGTGGGTCAGGCTGTTGCTTCTTCCTGGAATCGTTCAACCCCTCGACAACCACCCCCATGCGACACATAGGTTCGAAATGTTTAGCTTTTTGATTCCTTCGTATACCTTTATTACGAGATTTTAACGCCTTAAATGTGCCAAGAATCTGAAGGAATTTTGTCTTTCATTAGCATTAGTCTCTGTTAAAAATGAAGCAAATTTATGTCAATTATATAAGCTAAACGTTTAACGTATATCATGTCTAGGTGATTATTAAGTATTATTAAGTAAGTTAATTCGAAGTTGATGTAACTCCACTGTACAATACTAACCTACGATTACTATTCTTAATATTTCAAACCTATTTAATCCTCTCATCCCTTAAAGACGCCTAACCTCTCTTATATCCATCACGCGTTTAACCTAACCTCCAAGTAAGGCCATTTACTACAATTTTTCCTTTCTCTTTCCTCTATTCGACTATCACGGGCCCTACTTCCATTTTCTTCCTTTATCTCCCTCACCCTGTTCAATCTAACCTAAATTACATTATCATCCATCCTAAACGACACAATTTTTCGCAACCTACCAGCCAAGTCCCCAACCTATGTTCACTATCCTTTACATTTCAAACCTATCAACCTCCTTTAACTCTTTTCCCACTCACTGTATTCGTTTCCGAAGAACGCCTCGCCATCCTTATACCTCTCTATCGTTTCGAACCTAACCTCGAAATCCGCCTGCCGCAACTGTCCAATCTAACCTAAATTACATCGTGAACTGTTCTAAGTGACATCTCCTCGCAAATTACCGACCAAATCCCCAACCTATGATCACCATTAAAACTACACGAGTCAACCACTCGCGCCCAAATTAAAATTCCCACAAGAACAAGAATTCCCGCGGAATCCGATATCCGTCCTTATAAACAATCAAGGTCCACAAAATGGACACCACTCGTCGGCAACGTACTCAATTCCGAAGAATTCTACATATTCGCGAAATCGAGCATTTCATATGCAACAACCTGATAGAATCGAATTGGCGCGAGCCAGAATTCAAGAGAAATACGAGCGACGATGAACGCGTTAAAGCTGAGTTTTACGCTCGTCTCCGTTACGAATGTATCCAGCCGCGTTATCGAAAGCATAGCGTACGGGGTTAAGCCGCAATATGCAGTTATCCCCGTACGAGGTAGCTACGTGGGTCATAATAATACATCCGTTTAACGTTAGCCAGGGCCAAGAAACCTTAAGGTGGCAGGGGGGTCGAGATTGCGAGCTGTATTTTCGTGAGCTTACATTGGCGTCTTTGTCTGCCGGAAACAGCGTTGGTATAGGCCGGATACCGGTGCTACGTGCCCTCTTACGTGCTTATATCCAACGTGAACACGCGCCCGATGCACACGTGGATGATAGCCAATCCCCTTACCTTTACGATTATTGTCCAAGACCGGACTACTTTACCTCGCGGCCGAATTGTTTACGGTATTTACGACGGATCGAATTCGTAGGAGAGATGCATACGAAGAGGAGAGCAGCGTTTTGGTATTCCGTGCGTCGCCACTGAAGGAAGATGGTGGTCCTATGGGCCGGGAAATTGCAGCTTCCGGTTAAGCCGTGGGTTAGGCGGACTTAATTCGTTCGGCTGTTCCGAGGACAGATATCGGTCCGCGTGTTCGGGTTTTGGTAATTGAGATTTTGACGACACGCTTGTTGCTTTTGGGTATTTTTCAGCTTGCGAGTTTGCAATTGTTTGACCGTTTTGTTGCGATATAGCATAGACGTAAGTGTAGAGTCAACCTTCCTTTCCATAAATAAAATTTCCTTGTAATTTATATCCTGATACTTCTAATACCTATAGTTTAAATTAAATTAAATTAAATTTATATTAATTCTGCGTGTTATAAAATACGTATGATTAAATAAAATAATTCCTTACGTACCGAGTAATATAATTAACCACTCGATGACTGGTGATGCTAAAAACATTTAATGCAAATAAATGGTGATGTTTATAAAATGTGTACCTAAAAATTTCGCGTACTTTCGATATTTGTAAAAATAAAAAAAGAATCTGAAATTGCTTACATATTTTTACTGATTCGGTAGATTCAGTGGCAAATAATTTGATCTCTGGCTATATATATTATCTCAAATCATCCAAATGGTGAAGCTGTACGTGCCAATTGTTCTGTGAATTCTCTGAAATTGGAAAGTGAGAATTCAGTTCCGAAACGAGAAGATCGTTCAATTTCCCAGAAGAAGAAAATTAAGTAAAAATGGTGGAGGAAAATCTTGGATGAAGTGAAACTCGTCTCGAAGTAATTGCCAGGGAAAACGTCTAAAATCGAAGCAGATTTTGCATTGATTCTTTGGCCGAAGAGTATGAGAAACTGTGTTCGAGTTAATATTAAAGAAACATATTATTATAAGCCAATCTATATGCACGGGGATGATAACTGCATATTGGGACTAAACC